CCCCAAAACCCCAAAACCCCAAAACCCCAAAACCCCAATTAAACCCAAAAAAATTGAACTTTAAACTTTCTTTACTATTATACTTCCTTCACTTTAATTTCCTATTCCCCTACAACAGCTTGAGCGTGGCCTTGTTCATGCCAATTCTGTTCTTAAAGAGCCTTGTCTTTTGGCCTGAACTTTGAGAAGTAAGTGGGGCTGGAAGAAGGTATTCGATTGAGGGGTTTTGGAGGGGATATAGGCGTGGACGGTTCTAGAGGGTTATGGAGAAGTACTGTTGCGGTTTAGGAGGAATTTGTGGTCGAATTTCTCTTCCTCGGAGATTTTGTGTGGGGTTCTAGGGTCTGGGGTTGCTGATGATGGCTGGTTTTCTAATTTGTTTAAGAAGTGCTGCATTTTTCTTTTTAATCTAGTTCCTCTATAAGTAGAGTCTCTCTCTGAGGATGGGACAAGAATTTCTTTATAAGCCGATAGTTCTACAGGATTAAACTCATTATACCTTCTCCTTCATCCTTGTCATTAATACCTTGGAACTGTCTATTACTTTCTATCTTGAATCTTCGAATTTTTTGATTCTTCCTTGCTTTTCTTCTATGTCTTTTTGTCCTAATACAATAATTCATCAATTACTTCTTCTTTACCAAAATCTTTTCTCTTGGGGATTTCTGACAGTTTTTGGAAGTTAACAACTCCGAGTTTGCAGTAGTAAAGGCCTCGGTTTTTCCTTTGCATAAAAGATTGCCTAACATTTTTCTTATTTTTCAAATGATTTCATTTGACGTTTCGAACGAGAATAAAAATAACAAAATCCATCTCATTAAGAAATAAGCATTTACAATCAGAATTAATGAAACCGAGATCGCTCTAAGAAATGGGACATCTTCAACTTCTTGATCGTTTGTGTTGTCAAGGGAAATGACTGCTCCAAAAATGGTGATCATGCCTCCGAGAACTGCTAAAATTTCTACTTTGTTATTTTCTTCAAATTTATAGGGTTTCAAGGACTCCTGAACTCTAAACATAATGATAAGAATAATGACTGCTGACATTATCCTGTAAAATATATCTGTTCTTGACAGAAGAATGTTTGTTAAAGGAATCAATATTTTTCTTAGAGTATTCACAAACTCCCAGTAGAATACTTTTGGCTTAAGCCCTTGGTAGAGAACAAGGAAATATCTTTTTACAATATCATGATCAAGATTCTTTCTGAATTTTATTAATATGACCAATGCTGCCATTGGACAGCCAATCACCCATACAACCATCATTGAGCCTCCAATGGGTAAAGCCCACTTGAGGTGTTCAGCCGAGTAGCACTGGATATTCATGTCGATAGTCATTCTGCTTTCTCCGTTGCCAACATCAGTGCATTGGAACAAGCTGAGAGACTGCTTTGTCAATGTTGGGTGAAATAAGAACAAAATACAGATAATAGTGATGCTGATGTTCCTCTTGGTATCGTCGAACCATTTGTGTCCGGTAAGTCCTAGCAAACTCCAAATTCAAGCAGAAATAATAATGAAAATCAGTGGCAACAGGGCCGAAAGGAATAACTTGAATATTGGTGTTGAAGGAGTAAATGATGTCATTTGGGCATCATCAAAGAATCAATCGAAAGATATGAATGATTCTGAGGTTGAACTAGCTCTCTCCATAAATGAGAATGAATCATATAACGCATTGGGGTAATCTAACCCATATGAAACTGCAATTCCCATTAATTGAAGATAATTGGTAAGAATTCTTAATGTAATGGATTTTTGACTCTCATTCCTCTTCCTGATGTTAATGATGATTAATACCACAATGAAAATTATCACTAGAATCATTAATAAAGCTATTCTAATGGAGTTATAAATCTTATTTGGACATTTCTCTCATTCATACAATCCAATTCTCATAAAGTCGTTTCCTCCATGTTTGGTTCAAGAGGTGCAGAGATAGCCTGAGTATCCTTCTGAACATTCCACAGGATGTTCATTAATTTCATTAAATCTTCCAAGTCAGATATCTCTGATAGGGCATTTTACAAGGTCAGTAGAATTAAGGCTTGATCTCCAATAATCAGGATTTACAGAAATTTTACTCCCTCCTTGTCAAACAGCATTTTTCATTCAAGTAGTGCATTGGGTGGAATTCCATTCAAGGGAATAAGTTCCTTGGGGTCACTCTATTCAAGTTTCATTACCTGAGTACATTTCTCCAGGTTGGCACCATCTAAAGTCTACAGTAATAAGATTCCTGTTAACACTTCCATACACCCTTGTGACAAGATTAGAGTCTATTGATTTTGAAAATGCTCTGTATTCAATTCCTGTTTTTCCTGGTGCTGCTTGAAGCACTAAGTTATCGAAAGTTCCAACTCCATTTTTAACTTGAGCGTAATCGATTCCAGTCACAGATGCATTTGAAGCAATTGGAGATATTTTAATCTGAGAGGTAGAGTCAGTTGCAATCTCCTGTTCATCATAATCAACTAGTTTCAGTCTGACTTCTGAAGGATATTTTATTCCACTTCCAACAAAATCAAACTTGATATCCTGAATACTAGAATCACTCTGAGATATTTTGACTGGATAAGACCCAATATTCGGTCCATATTCAGCAGAATTATTGAAATAAGTATTCAAGAATGAAGGACGGAACGAATCGTAATAGATGGCTCCTCCTTCTGTGGCTGAGTTTTGCATGAAATTAGATTTACTAAAGGATACCTCTCATTCTTGCTTTATAGCTGTGAGGCATTCAACATAAACAGCTCCTCCTCTTGAGGCAGTATTTGAGGTAAATGTCAAGTTATCTCCAATAAATTTTGAGTTTATCAGATGGACTGCTCCTCCTGATGTGATGTCCACTCCTCCAAGATTGTTAAATTCCGAGCTTCTGATTTCTACAATTTCAGAATTGATTGCTTGCAACCCTTTGGTAATATTATTGAGCTTTATCTGATTGATCTGAGCGATGTTAGATTTTGTAATTTTTAAGCCTTCCCCTGGCATATCTCTGATTTCAATATTTTCAAGAAGACTTACTTCGGACTTTATAATCTCAATGAAGTTCGTATAATTGCCAGAGATATTGCTTAATGAAATGTTCTTTATGGAGCAATCAAGAGTCGAATACATTAAAATAAGTTCTTTCGGTGTTTCAATATCCGAAAAGTGAACCCCATTCATGCTTCAGATAGTGTTGGCTTCCTCAATGAACTTTCCTGATGAGTTTGAGTAAGTAACATTGCTGAATGTGGTCACAGATTCTGAATTTGATAATATCACTGGGGCATTCCATGAAGTCATGTTGATTCTGTCAAAAATAGTATCTGAAATATTTAGAACAGATGAAGACGCTGTGATAATTGGACTATTTGTTATGAAACGGTTGATAGTAGTGTTTTCTATCGATATTTCAGAGTTGAACCCGTTGATAAGTTTGTCTTGATCATGAATGTTTTGCATGCTCTGGAATGAAATGATTCCAAAAATAACATCAAACAATACTATTTTGTCAGAATCTTCAACAATGTCAAATGACTCTTCTGTTTTGTTCTTAATGAAATCTGGCAAAAAGCAGAGGGTAGTTCAAACAACTTCAGTCTGAGATATATACTCTTCTTTAGTTATCTTTGCATTGTCATAAATGCTTCCGCCAGTAATGAGAGAGATTTTTATGCTATCAAGAATGCTACCCAGAGGAGTACTTCTTGCATAATTGTTATACATTAGTGTGTCAACAAATTCAAAATGTGCATGGCTTTTGACATATAGAACAGCATTCGAGATTGCAAAATTCTCGAAGATCCTTCATTCACTTCACTTCACCAAGCTACGGTCCTTGATATTAAACACTCCAGCACTAATGGCAGTGTTCTTTGTAAAGTTGCTTCGGAGGATATTGACCTCTGTCCCTTCGAATTTTGAGCTTAAAATGGGTCCTTCATAAGAAGAATGCATGTTGGTGAACAGAGAGTCCCTGACTTCTAGTCTGCCTCCTTGTGAAATATCAAGGAATGATTTATCGTTCATCGTTCACTTTTGAGCAGTGATGTTGGAAAGCAATACCAAAGTGGTTACATCATTGTTCTTGTTAAATGACTCAAGATAAATGCTGCCTGCAGTGATGTTAGTAAATGTAGTGTCTTGCACCACTACTTGTGTAGAGATTTGGTGCTCAAAGTCAAATATTTTTCCTCCTCTAGTAAATTCAATATTATAGAATTTGGAATCGGTAAATTTGAAATGAAAATCACTTGTTGAGAATAAATTTTTGAGTAAAATTAAGCTTTCTGAAAATTCAAATACTCAATCATGGTAAGCAAGATTCTGGAAAATAACAGAAGAGCCGTTCGCTTCATTGCTAGAAATAGAATTCATTTGGAAAAGAGGAATTGTAGAATTTACAATATTTAAATCTATGAGAGAGATTTCATTCTGATCTCCAAGATTAAAAGTTCCAAATTTAATCATTACATTTGTGGTATCATCAGCACTTTCCTTATAAATATCTTCAAAAGTAACATTTTGAATTGTGGCTCCATGAAAGGCATCAGATGAAAGTAAAGCATATCCTTCTACACTTTCAATATTTTTAAAGTGAACATTTTTAATAGTTATAGGAAAAGTGCCCGGAATAAAGTGAAGGAGGTTATTGGACTTGACCTTTCAATCTATAAACTGAGTATCTTCTATTAACGTTCCTGGACCGAAAAATCCTAATCTGAATACTTGTCTTCCGGCAACAAGTCCTCCACTAATATCCTTAAAAGTATTATTTTTAGCAGTGATGGTAATTGCAAACTGAGCTGAAAGAGAAGCTCCGTCAAGCATTTCAGAATCCTCGATATAATTATTGGTCAGTATAATATTTGAGCCAACAGTATTGATGACATCAAGTGTCGACCGGCATCTTCTCACAGTGATTGAATCTATCCCCTCAAAGGTCACGTTATGGAAGAAGACCCTTGCTGGGCTAATAGAGTACGACGGCGAAGGAATCAGGCTGACCAATGAGTAGCCCCCTTCAGGCTGTAATTCCGGAGCTGTTAAGTAAGAATTAGTCATATTTCAATGCTGAATTTCAGTTGTGTCGGGAGTTCATTCAGTCTGAGCAGACGCCGTCAGTATTGCAATTCCAATAGTGTCTTCTACTTTAGCAGAGCAATCAAATCTGTTAATACTCATATCTCCTGAACCAAGCATTTCCAAGATTGATCTCGCAAAAGGAATTATTTTCTCTTGAGAATTATACACAGTGAAGTTGTCTGAAGTAAGTTTTCCTAAGAAGTCGCCTCCAGGGAAATTTCATGGAGCAAAAATGGAAACACAATAACTTGCTCTGTATGAATCAAAATTTATGTTATTCAGATTGACTTCGACTGCAGAGATGGATGATAAAAGCGAACCAGAAATTTTAGAGTCTATGTGATTAAAGTTGATTGATTTTTCAGCTATATTCCATGTTAATAGTAAGAGTTTAGAAAAATATAATTATAAATTGAGGGTTTTCATGTCATTAATAAAAATAATTCCTAATTTAGAATTTTTATCAATAGTTAGCTATTATATTTTTAACTCTATTTGATCATTTAGCATCAGAACAACACACAAGGTTATGAAACTTCTCAATATTGTTGGTCCAAACTCTTCTTGCTTAATAACCAATTATTAACTAGTATTAATTTTTAAACCTAGTTTGGTGAATAATTCCTCACTCTCTCAAACTGTTTGGAACAAAAAGTGATATTTCGCATTAATCTCAACTAACTCATAGACATAAGCTCTGTAGCAAATTGGGACAAGAAGTTAGGCTCAGTTTCTAGGCTTACCTCCTCACTCAACTGGGAATACGAATCTGTTGTCAGTCTCAATATTGCTGTACTCTGAGTCTAAGTTCACTTTTTGGATCGATAGGGATGAATTGTACACAAAGATAACTTTCAAACCGAATGAGCTTGCTGAGGGGTCTGAAGAGTTCGCAATTGATATATCTAGAGCATCTGTTTGTAGGAGTGAATATTTGGTCCAAGAGTTTAAAGTTGGTGCAGCAGAGTCTGTCAGGATTAGGTTTGTATATTTAGGATCTGGATTGATTAATGAGTAAGGCATGATGTTTACATTAGTAATATTGATAATGTAGTTTTTATTTAGCTCAAGGTAGTTTGTAGTGGTTTCACGAACATATATATTCACAGTAATATCTCTGTGGCTTAAATAGTTGAGAAGCTCAATAAATACTAATTTCAGATTTTTATATGGGAACTCTTTTGTTCCCAACTCCACTACCTCAGTGCTTCTTGAATTAACATAATAGTCGAACCCTCTTCAATAAGCTTTGTTCTCAGTTTGAGTGCTATTTATAGGGACTTGGGTTACCGGATCTCAAGAAGCTACACATTGGGAGTTGTCAAGGTCATAATACTCTCCAATTGGGCATTCATATCACTCGGGTTTATAAGCTCAGAGGGTCAATCAACTCGATCCTCAACTCATTCAGGTATCAGTAATTTTCAAATAAAATTGGCCATCAGGACAAAACTCTCATTGATTGCTGGTGGAGTTGAGCCTCATTGAGTCTGGGCAGCTGGTTCACACATTTGATGAGTCTCAGGTTTGACAAGATTGAGGGCACACTATATCCTAATTTAATTCTAAACTTACCCGAATCGAGTGCTCTGCCTTGAAAATTATTTTCAAATTCTTTAATTTCCAAGCTATTGACTATGCTTCATCAAAATGAAAGAATGAACAAAATGAATAAGCATAGCATTTTAAAGCCTGCCAATTGATCAATTAGTTTAATATTTTTGGATTTGTTCGGGCAAATAGTGTAGGAGAACTCTAGCATTCTTGAAAATCCTATAGACTTAAACATCGAGCTGAAGAAATCATAATTGTTTAAAGAGAAATATCTCTTAGGTATGAATCGGCTGGTTTTGTAATAGCAATGAAAAATAGGTAAAGAACTCAATGCTAAGTTCCTCTTGGAATTTCATCTTTCTTTGACTGAATCATTAATATTTAGCTTCAAAAATTGAAAAATCTCATAAATTAAAAGCAAATTTTCATAATAAAAGAAGTCTGTATAAACATCAGTCCATTTTCTTCCTATCAATCTCTTATGGAAAAGTTGTTTGTTGTTTCACCACAACATGTTTATATTATAAATTATATTATCAATTTTTTTACTATTTAAAGGGGTTTTGGGGTTTTGGGGTTTTGGGGTTTTGGGGTTTTGGGG